TCGTAAAATATTTAGTTTTCGATAATCTTACCGTAATGCTTTTATGTACAGAATAATGAGACAAATCAATTAGTTTAAAAAAAAACGAATAATTGTTTAATAAATACATTATAAATAATTACATACTTTTTCTTAAAAACAATAATTTTTTTTTTTGCTAATTGATTTGTCTCATTATTCTGTACATAAAAGTATTACGGTAAGATTATCGAAAACTAAATATTTTACGAGATATTTTATTTTTTATATCAAAATATGTCAGATTAAGATATAAAATAACTCAAAAAGTACTTAATGAAAAAATACTTTATTATAGTGTTTTGAAAAGCTCTCGAGATAAGCTACAAAAATGTGCAATAAAAAGTAAGCAGTTTCTTTTAAAAAATTGAAGGTGACCTTGCTTTTTTATAGAAAAGAAATGTTTGGTCAATTTTTATTATTGCAATTTGTTGCCGGTTAGAAACTGATAAATTTCTGTTTATGACTTTTTTATGTCAGATTATTGTAAGTGCCTTAAAAATCGTGGCGACCGTTACGAGGACCACCCTGTATAAATATATAGCAGAACAGAGCTACTAAATATTGAAACAAAGTCGAGTATCGGTATAATAAAATTTCGAATTGTATCAATTAACTCTAACAATAAAGTCAATAGTTGCAGAAATCGACAATATACGCAACCAGCCAATTTTTTGCTACGCTTTTGATTTTATGTATAATTTTAATTGTACATATATCCATTATATATTTATATGCATACGATCTTACCCAGATAATGTAGGTTAATTATAACATCGTGTTCTCCAGAATTTGTTTGCGTTAAAAAATGTAACGATAACCGAAAAGAAATTCGACAAAAGTTTAAGTACAAGAATTTATATAATTTCTATATGACTATAAGAAGACAATATTTATAACATTTATATTCTTGAAGTACAAACGTTATTGAAAAACTTTAATGGTAGGAAATAAATTTTTGAAAAGAAAAGTTGTGTTAAGATAAAGTCACTTACTTGGAGAAATTAACTACCTCATCGTAAAAAAACTAAATCGTTAAACAAAATTGTTTCAACAATTGAAAAGAGCTACATTATTTGTTAAGAGAAGCGGTTATATGAATTCTTATTAATCCTCATTGATCTATTCTGTGTGGCTATCACATACAAATTGATATAGCTGCATATGCATAGCAGACCGTCTAGATCAACGAGCATCGAGCATTAAGCCAATATATTGATTTACATACCATGCTCATGGTCCAGACGGTCTTATTGACGTCTATTTGATGCAACTACATCAATTTGTGTACGATAGTCCTTTTTGTTTGATATAAGAATCATAATAGATATGCAAGAAGATCTTGCATATAAAAGACAATAAAAACAGATTTTTTAAAAAAGTCTTGAAAAACAATAAAAACAGATTTAAAAAAAATGTAACTATTCTGTATGTTTTAAACACATTATCAATCAAGAGAGGTATAAAGATAATTATCACGTGTATATGATTAAACAAACAAGAAATTTCAGGGCAGATTTACTTGTTACATACATTACTATTTACTTAGTACATATATTATTTATCATTAAAAGTACCGAAAGTAGCCGCGTTTTTGGCCCAGCGGTGCTTACTTAATTCTTTTCGTATGTTATACTTTATCAAGTATATTCCAGTATCCGAGAACAACAATTATCATATTTTACAAAACTTCAAATTTGACCTGAATCATCCTAAGAGTGTGAGTGTGAGAAATAACATTGATGAGATTACATTTGCAAATATGTCTGTGATCCCAAAACCTAATAAAGTTGCAAAGAAATGCATAAATCGTTAGCAAAAGAAATTTATAACAAAAAAAATTGTAAATATAATTTATATTTAAGAGAGAGTAAAAATAATATCTAAAATAAATCTTTCAACAGCGAAAAGAATATAAATTTTAGGTAAATATAGCGCGCGCTTCCTGTCCATGCATGTACTTTGGTATATTTCAAACTTTTTTTGTTAATAACTTTTTAATAAGCAACGAGCGACGATTAAATTAGAAGAAAAAGTTACTCAGAATTATGTCCTTGACAACATATGTCAAGGTCAAGGTCATTGGGGCTGAAAGATTTGTACTCATTTGTAATTTTTCAATAATGTCATATGGCTTTGTAATTAAGATCAGAAGTTATAAAAAAAATAATAAAATAACACAAATTTAATTATAAAAATTTTAAATATTCACTATATATAAACGTTTTTTCGGTTTTTGTTATAATAATGTTCTATAATAAGTAAAATAATGCATATATTTTTTAGAAGATTATATTCAACAAATTATACTAAGGATCGTAAACCTCAGATAATACAATCGGATCTTGATGGAAATAACGCTCGAATCATTCAGAATAATTTATCTATTATATGTCCCTCTTCACCCTCCTTACTCGATATGTCAAATCTTGTAGATTTAATATAAAGTAGTCAATTATATTATTTAATTTTGCTAGTTTATTTTTTTTAAACGATTGCAAATATTATACTTCTGTTTTCTTAATTAATAAAAAATTTCTGGAAAACACTTAATGCTTTATTGTTTGATTTTGCTCTGAATTAATCATTACTTCTATAAGTATTAAAACACTCAAACATTTTTATATTACTTTATTATTTTAAAAGTCAACACTTGCTGTGCTAATTTTCATATATTGTAATTTATCTCTGTTTTTTTTTGTTTTTATTTTTATTTAAAACTTTAAATTGTTCTCTTCTGGATTACTGAGATGATCAATTTAATGTTCTTGTATATAATTATGTCAATATGTACGATTGTAAAATTTTTATAAAACATTTTGAGCAAACCAACATCTCCCAGAACATTTGTAGAGTTCTATAACGGATTCCTAAATGCAGAAAACGACATTTCTGTGACATTCAGGTAAAAAATCTAGATTCTTAGTCTGTATTCTTTTAAATTTAATGACACATACATATAATAACGTTGATTCTATTATCATTTTACTAAATATAAAAAGGCCAAAATATTATTTTTTTTTACAGATGGAACCTACCTGAATTTACAGACGAAGTAATACAAGGATACACAGTGCAGTGTTGGTTCATCGAGAACCTAAAAAAGATTCAAATCTGCGACAACAAAAGTATCTCAGCTACAATATCGAAGTGCACAATGCACAATCTAAAATCTAACACGACGTACTACTTTCAAGTACGAGCGCATACTAAAGTTGGTGCTGGCTCTTACACATATTTAATTAATGTATCGACTACGCACGAAAATCCAATACCGCAATTATTGGTGGAACATATTTCTGGTATCGATATATGGGATCTGGATTCAAACACCAGCGTTAGTCTCGTTAAGGGTTCATCATATTTGGATAAGGTGATGAGTGCCACTTATTCGATAGCGGAACATAAAATTTATTGGAGCAACTATAAGAGGGACTTAATGATGTTGGAGATGAATGAAAACAATATTATAGAAATAGCTAAGTTTGAAAACATTGCTTTCTGTCTCTGCATCGATTGGGTAGCAAGAAATCTGTACTGGATGGAATTTGGGTATTGGGAATTTTTATAACATCATAAAGCTTGACTTAACAATGTGGGAAAATGGCGTAGTCAAATATGATAAGATTTTAAAAACAAGTGTCTCTAGTTTGGACCTCATTTTAAATATACAACCGTCTATAGGGTATGTTAACTTTCATACATTTGAAATAAATGCACAATATTTCTATTAACGATTTGTATTGATTTGTAATTATCAATAATTTCATATGGCTTTGTAATTAAGATCAGAAGTTATAAAAAAAATAATAAAATAACACAAATTTAATTATAAAAATTTTAAATATTCACTATATATAAACGTTTTTTCGGTTTTTGTTATAATAATGTTCTATAATAAGTAAAATAATGCATATATTTTTTAGAAGATTATATTCAACAAATTATACTAAGGATCGTAAACCTCAGATAATACAATCGGATCTTGATGGAAATAACGCTCGAATCATTCAGAATAATTTATCTATTATATGTCCCTCTTCACCCTCCTTACTCGATATGTCAAATCTTGTTGACATGAAAATTAATGACATGAATTCTAAGAATACGCTAATTTATTGGCTATGGTATGATGTCTTGATTGTGACAGACATTAACGTTTCTATGTGCAATTTGATTTTACAAAACGAAAAATCAACTATTCTCAAATAATATATTTCAAATCTTTAGCGATTGACAAGACAAACATTTACATTTTATTTAACAATCATTATATATATATCTTAAAAAAAGTATGCACTTCTCGAGAGCATAGACGCATTCAAATACATCCAAAAGAATTATCTTTTAATGTCTTTCCACAGTAATAGTCATTTTTACGCTTTCGGTAAATCTTTGCAATCGTATCCTCCGACGAGATGTTTGATACCTGACAAAAGAATTTACAACGTAGAAAAACCGACGTACACAGTAACGACGAACAGCATCATCGTAAATCTTCCGGAGCCGGTCCTTAAGAATGGATGCAAAAAGCACAACTTACCTACCACTCTATATACCATCTACATAAACTATTGTTTGAACAATAAACTTAACAAGTTCGATAATTTCACCATGCAACCGTACAAGCGATATTGCGAGATTCAGAATTTAATGCCGCTTACAGAATACAAGTTATTGCTAGTAATAAGCAATTTTTACACTGATCAGTTATCGATGGACCCGTTATTCCGTTCGGAAGTGATACTAAGAACTAAACCGAGCAAACTCGACGCACCGGAAAATGTGACAGTTCAGGCTCTTACGCCTACTTTAGCGGCAGTTTATTGGATGCCATCCAAAAATCTAAACTGCGTTCCCGTGATCTACGAAGTATACTGGGCGTTCATTATCAATAGTACGCGACAAATAAACGAGTTACCTATCAATAAGACCGAACATAAGGTAGGCAGCAAATTTTTCACGATAATCGAACCGTTGATACCAGGACAGAAATATAGGGTATTCGTACGTATATATCCAGCCAACTTCAGCGATCATTATAATGACAGTTTGAGCAAAACCTTGTACATGTATTCGGAACCAAACAATATAACTTTAAGCGAGGTTAGCATAAACGGTATGAATATCTCGTGGATTCCTAGCGTTAATATGGTTCATTACTTATTGGAATATAAAAATGTTGAGATGCAAGAGTGGCAAATTAAAAACAACTTTGAACCAAATAATGGGGGAAAAGTAATGTACTATATAAAAAACTTACTACCAGGAACTATATACGAGTTTCGTTTGATATTGAAATACCCCAAGTACGAGAAAAATTTTATATGGCCGTCTGATAAAAGATTTACTTTTTCAACACTGACAAGTAAGCCAATGAAGATATTATAACATTATATACTTATTTTAAATATAAAAATATTTACAAAATTTAAAAACTTAGTAATTTTTAATAGTAAAGTTATAAATAGAAGTAAGTTTTTAAATAAAATGAAGATATTAAGAGTATATTTTTGTGTAACAAAGGTGATATTTCGAGCACTTCTGAAATGTCGATTATGCAATATTACCTATCATTCACCGTAAGCTTTGTCGCTATAGTTACTGTAATCTGCATCTGCTACTTTTACTACTGTAAATATATTTGATACGCATCTAGTTCTTTAATTGCAGAAAGAGAGAGATTATATCTAATGCATTATAGTATTAGGTGTACAACTTTGCTTCCGCAGTTTTTTTTTTCCGAAATTCGAGGCTTTATTGTAAAAAACTGGTTATACATTTATGATTCAAAGTATTGTCCATCGCTGGCCACTACTTTCTCC